TTGAACTGTGCCATTGTGGTGTAATTGAGAGTCTCATGAAATGAATTGTTCGATGCAGATCTTCCCGGAGTGGTTCGTGTGATTCCCAACGGCATTTTCAGTGTGCAAACCACTCGAAGCTGGGATTTTCTTCATCTAAACGGTCATATCCGGAATGGAATTCTTCCAAAGAGTCACTCCGGAGCAGGGTCTATCATCGGTATGATGGACACAGGTTTGTGCTGAGATATGATTTGGTCGTCAAGAGTGATGATGTCAACTTTGAGTCTGATTCTTGATTTGTCTTTCCCGTCTCTTTTTCTTTGTTAATTTTTTTTTCTGTCCTTTTTTTTTTTGGGTCTCAGGGATTTGGCCAGAATCTGAAAGCTTTAAAGATGATGGTATGGCCGACGCTCCGACTTGCTGGAAGGGGATATGTCAAGGAGGAGAAGGATTTAATGCATCCAACTGCAGTAGGTTGGACTACTTTATGTGCATTCATCACGGTGTAGCTATCTGATAAATTCATTGCTCCGTTTCCGTGATCAAGAACTCATTAGCCTCAGCTGATAGACATGATGATAGAACGCATGTGGCGAGGCAATGATGGATGTAACGTAACATGTCTGTGACTTAATGGTCCACGTGTTTCATAATGCTACAATGGTGTCATGTGAACTGTTGTTGAAGAAAGTTCTGGAGGGAAAGATATGACCAGGATCTACTAACAATCTTACTATGACACTCTGGGCAGGAAGATCATCGGCGCACGTTGGTACATCAAAGGGTATGAAGCTGAATTCGGCAAGCTCAACACGACCCAGGGAGTCGAATTCTTGTCTCCCCGAGATGCTGTTGGCCATGGCACACACACAGCATCGACTGCCGCTGGATCATTGGTAGAAAATGCGAGTTTTGCCGGACTAGCTCGAGGACTGGCTAGAGGGGGTGCTCCGGCGGCTTGGTTGGCCGTCTATAAAATCTGTTGGTCTACTGGTGGATGCAGTTCAGCTGATCTTCTCGCTGCATTTGACGATGCAATTTCTGATGGTGTAGATGTTCTTTCGGTATCTCTCGGCGCGTCTCCTCCACTCCCTAGTTACGTTGATGATACTTTGGCGATAGGTTCCTTCCATGCTGTAGCTAAAGGTATCACAGTGGTGTGCTCGGGTGGAAACTCGGGTCCTTACCCACAAACCGTCACAAATACTGCTCCGTGGATCATAACTGTCGCTGCTAGCACAATTGATAGAGCCTTTCCTACCGCGATCACATTGGGAAACAACCAGACTTTTGTGGTACTTTTCTCGTTCCTGTTCTATTCATAGTTTAAGTGCATCAGAATTATCCCCACGTAGGCTTTGGCAGAATTGGACAGAAAGTGCCACCTAATCCTAACTAGTTATCCAAAAGGGTAAGATGGTGGGGTTCAGGAGGAAAAATGATAAAGATGAGGATGAATTCGATGTGGAAATGTCTTCGATAGAATCCACGAAACACATGACGGATGTTCTTGTTTGATATGTTTCAGAAGTAGACATGTTTTGCTTTCTCATACAGGGTCAGGCTTACTATACAAGGGGGCTCAGGGACAGGTATTACCCCATCGTGTATGGAGAAGATATTGCATCTACGAACTCTGACGAAGATAGTGCAAGGTCAAACAACTATCCCGTCACAGTGTCTGTCTCTCAACAAGCCCGCAACTTTTGGATTATAAAATCCTTCTCATGTAGTATAAATTAATTTTATTTTTGTAGGAGTTGCGAGGATGGATCACTAAATGCTACTTTAGCCAGAGGAAAAGTGGTTCTCTGCTTCCAATCTCGATCTCAGAGGTCAGCCACTGTCGCCATAAGCACTGTCACTGCAGTTAAGGGCGTTGGATTGATCTTTGCACAGTTTCCGTCAAAAGATATTACTGTATCCTTGCGAATCCCTTGTGTCCAGGTGGATTTTACAATCGGAACTTCTTTGGTTACTTACATCGAGGCAACTCGGTAAGTTCTAATACGATGACTAATGACATCTTGTTGCAATGTATGAATGCAATCGCCCTAATCATATATGTTGAACTACTCCCTGTTTTCCTCCACCCTTCACCACCTCACACAGCGATGCCTCCCCTTGGCGATATTTCCGTCTTTAAACAAACAATTTTTTACACGAATCTATAGGAAGGCGAGTCTCTAGCATTCCAATGTATTCCCGGGTTTATGATGATTCAATATTTATTTTAGCAGATCTACGACAGTTTCAGAAGAACCAAAATGCAGACCGTCACTTAACTCACTTTAGTTGTTATTCGGTGTGTGGCATGTGAGAATAAATTCAATGTCCTGCCTCACCGTTTTTCTCTAACAGAAAGCCACTCATCAAGATTACATCTTCAAGAACTGTCATCGGAAAACAGATATCCCCTGAAGTAGCTGTCTTCTCCTCAAGAGGGCCTAGTTCTCTATCTCCCTCTGTGCTGAAGGTATATATCTATCACACATCTTATCATACTTTCTTTGTTACTGAGTGCCTAACATCTGAAGAAATACGCAGCCTGACATTACTGCTCCCGGGGTTAACATCCTCGCTTCATGGTCTCCTGCATCATCTCAGCTGGATCCCCCACTCAACTTTAAAATAGAATCGGGAACATCCATGTCTTGTCCACATATATCCGGCATCGTCGCGCTTCTTAAAGCAATCCATCCATCATGGACTCCTGCTATGATTAAGTCTTCATTAGTCACAACAGGTTCTTATTCTATGTTTCCTTTCAGTTGCTTCAAATGAGAAAGTTAAAAAGAAACGAGGGAGAGAGTCGCATTGCTTCCCAAAAAGCATTTTGGATACACTACACAAGCACCTGTCTTTCTGAATGCACTTTTAAATCAGATTACCAAACAATGATTCATGATAATTTTTATTATGCCTATCTACATCCATGGCCAAATTCAAGTTTTCGAGAAGAGGACAGAGATATTACGCAGAATGCAATTGGTTGCATGCTAATTTTGGCCACTCAGCGTCTCTCTTTCTGTTGTAATGCAGCTTCCACAAAGGATCAATACAGCCAAAACATTGTTGCGGAGGGAGCACCTCACAAGCAGGCCGATGCATTTGACTACGGAGGCGGTCATGTTGATGCTAACCGGGCGGCAGATCCTGGTCTCGTCTACGACACAGAAATATCAGATTATGTTTGTTTGCTCTGTTCCATGGGCTACAACAGCAGTGCCATTGGCACAATGACAGGGAAACCCACCCAGTGCAAAGAATCAAGCAATTGCCTCAGAAACCTAAACTCGCCTTCCATCGTCATTCCCAACCTGAAGCAACGGGTGACCGTATCAAGAATAGTTACGAACGTCGGTCCCATAAATTCTATCTACACCGCTCGCTTCGAAGCACCGGTCGGCACCCATGTTAGAGTTAAGCCATCAATTTTGTCGTTCAATTCCTCCATGAGCAAGCTGAAGTTCAGAGTCATTTTCCATTCGCTGCTGAGCGTTCAGGGAAGATACTCGTTCGGAAATTTGTTTTGGGAAGATGGATTGCACGAAGTGCGGATACCGTTGGTCGTCCGGACCATCATCGATGATTTCTATGCCCAAACTTGATGCACATGGCATCTCATGTAGATGTAGGCAATGATCATAGTCCAGGGCATTTGTCAATTTGAACGTCGATCATTCATACGTCCAGCAAAAGGGGTTAGAAACTCTCCACTATCCTAAGGCGATGAGCACCACTGGTTTATGGCTCTCTGGTTGACTTCTGCAATACCCAAAGAACAGTTTCCGATAGAAAGGTTCATCCGCACAACGTTTGCTTTTTTCTTTTTAATAATAGAGATAGCTTTGCGTTATGTCATGAGTCCAAGACAGTCATCAAGTCCAGGATCTCATTACCATTCCCATTCAAGTCCAAAAGTGATAATGAAGAAGGGTCAGTACTACATTTGAATATTTGAACTTTTTTTTTTGTCAATCAAGCACTTCAACTTTTTAAATTTGGCTAATGTGAGACTTTGATTAAATAAAATATCATGTCACGCGACTTTTCTTACGCGGCTCCTTTACTGGTTATAGCTTATTTAAGAAAAATATGCCATCTCCATTTAAGTGTTGAATGATGAGGAGGAATAGACAATGGAGACTTAGACGAATAGTCGTCCAAAATGTTTCACATGACATTGTCTAAAAAGGCTATATCGAATGCCAATATGGACCATTAATGCCTACTTAAGGCTGTTATTGTCCACGATGCGAAGTTTTTTTTTTTTTTGAAGTTTAAAAAGTCAAATAAATAATTTTTGAACAAAAAGAACGTTTGGATCAATTGTAAAACGGATAAAAAATTCACATACTTACGATGTCATTACGAAAAACAAGAAAAAAAAGAAAACGCGGTGTACCTAACGTGCACAGAATATGAAACCATGGATTGCTGAGCCTGAAAAGTTATAGTCATTCAAACTCACTGTACAACAGCGAAAGCGAACTCCATCTAAGCCCAAATCTGCTTACTCCAGAGGCCACGGACCGAAATGGAGAAAGCTATCAAAGTAGTGACTTAGACAACTAATATGTCTCTTACTAACTAACGTGACATCATCTCAAGAAGTCAACATTGAATGTCCAAGTAGAATATTAAGCAAGGAAGAAAGTTTAAATTGATTGTAAGAAAAAAATAAAAATTCAAATACTTACGTGTCAATTCAAAAATTTTGAAAAACGCCCGTGCTTGCCTTTATGCAACGTTCGACATAGAAATTGACACACTATCCTCGTTCCTGGCTCTATTTCTGGTTGTAACGTATGTCCCGGTTGTCATCTCACTGTAGATGCTGCAAATATTTTAGCGTCAACAGGACATACACTTGTAAGTAATTCTCTTTCATGTGGAACCATGGAACGCTTTGATTTGCAAATGAAACATCCTTCTACTCCTTCAAGTAGAGACAGCATCCTATCTAGAATCACCAACTGTAGTCTACTGCTGTACAATATTGTTTACTGCTAGTATAACAAAGAAACATGACTGTTGCAATTATTGATCAACTTTCTGCTGAGAACTACAATACAAATTTGAAAGCAATCCATTGTACAAATCCCAAGAAAATCAAGACGACATCTCCAGCCAACAAGAAGTTGCCTTTTGGACATGTTGACCCTCTAAAATTGGATCTTTCCAAGTCCTTGGCATCCAAATTTGTGTGAAAAATCACAAATGAAGTTTCGTCGGGTTATATACCCCCTACATCAAAATACGAAGAACAGCCAGACCAACAGCAGAAATGGAGACAAGAGTACCAATGCAGTATTTAATCACGTCGTATTTTGCTGCTTCCAATTGGGCTCTCAAGCCATGAATTTCCTGCAAAAGAGTTTCACAATTGATAAGCAGATTTCAAAGAGTCGTTAGCTCCTGAAATGAAGATTTTGACCTTACCCGATCGAGTTTGTTTGTGAGATTGGTGGTTTCAGCATTTTGGTTAGCTAGTTCATCACGTATCCGCCTGTAGTAAGTTTCCGCTTAATAGTGTGAGAAAAAGAACAGAATGACTGTATGATCAATGAAAAACTCGTAGTAAAAGCTTCACTGATAATGCTGAGTAGAAAGTTTTTTACTGCTTACCCTCTTTCAAGATTTAAATCCAATCTTTGCCCTGCAGTAACTTTGTCTATCTCATACCTGAACAAAGATCACATTCAAGAATTAGAATCGACGAACCAAATTCAACCCTCTCAATCCACAATTTTCAGAAGACGTACTTCAATTCACTACGCGTCTTATCTATATCACCACGAAGTTTTTCAGTCTCACGTTGCAAAAGAGATAAATGATGTTCCTGCATTGTTAAAAAAAAAAAAGTTAGTCTTGGCAGATATCATATACTTCATAATAAAAAGATTTACTTTTGATGGACATAAAAATATTCATGTGTTAAGTGATGCCAATTTAGATGATAATGAATGGATTTCCCTGATTGAAATATTCAAAAAAAGAACAAAAGTCAACAAATTTGAATCCACAAGGATTCGTTAAATTCAGCCAAATGTGTCTTGAATTTTTATGGCAAATAAATAGTATCAACATGTAGGAAATGAGAAGCACAATACTTTCCAGTGAGAAAGTAATGCCAATACTTCTCCGATATGGTAACACTCATAAAGGCCAAGAAAGAATCAATAGCAGCAGCATTTGATAGGCACTTAAACAACCGAAAGGCAAAAGTTATAGCCACCTGTACTAGACAAGCAATTGAAAACCACACTGACAAATGCATGCTGAACAACAAGCACTCGCCCAAGCCCGTAGAAGAAAGAAACACGTGACGAAGAGCTTGTCCTTATGTAGCCTTCGAGCATGTGTATTTGGAACAAATAGCTTTCTAAATTGTTACTTTTTTTACTTAAAAATTACAGTATAGACAAAACTACATTGTAAGCTTGCTTTCCACATCATCAATGATAACTTTGGTAAGTCTCAAGTTTATTTTCATTCAAAAGTGAAATGCATGAGCCAAAAGCCAAAGGCAAAAATTTCAACTTCGGGTTTGTATTAGTTTACTCTTTAACTGGCTCTCAAAATCATGTAACTAGTTGCATTAGAATCGATAAGTCAGGACAAGATTATAGTACCACTAGCTGAACAGGGGACAGGGTCAAGATTGGAGTACAAACATGTGTGCTCTGATCCATGGGAATCCCTCTCAACAACATGACAAGCCAACAGAAGGAAAAAAGAAAGTTATTTTTGCTCAAGAGCAGATGAAGGAATTTGGACATCCCCTGAATGCCTCTTTTATTCGCCTTCTGAGCACCGACTTTCACCAAATAACCCCACCATTAACGCAGATGCATTCATTCATGCTAAGGAAATTGGAAATGTTGAGCATTTGACAAAATTTAAGACCACATTCACAAAGAACTCAAGTCAAACCAGAGTTCCTTAAATGCAAACCAGATCATGATTTTGGAACAGACAGAGCTCAAATGGAACTGTGAAAAAAAACACAAAGGTCTTCTAAGTTCGCTTATTTCTACGACTACGGAAAGATCGGGCAATGAGTGGAGTTCTCTCCCCAGATTTCGTTTTGTCCAAAATGAGATGAACTATCCGCAGGGATCCCATTCATTCCTTGATTGGGAGCGCAATTGCTAGAACACCGGAGAATGAAGAGTAATGATTCAATTTATCTACTACATGACGGATATTAAGAAAATGCGCTACTGATTGCTAAATAGGCATAGCACAAGATGCATACCTGCGAACTCTGTACTTCAGACTTGAACTTCGAAAGGTTAGATTCTTGAAGAATTTCAGTCTACAAAATCACAGACAGAGCGATTAGAGTCAGAACTTAACAGCACTACTACACAGCTCATTTCGACTGTCTTATTCTCCAGGCATTCACACTGAGGAATATCATCAAACAGGCGGCATGCAGAAAAACTAAACAAAAAGCTTGTATAGACCGGGAGTTTTTACTTTTTGCATTTCTACTTTCGACACGAAAGAATGAGCCACGTTCTCCAAGCTATCATTCAAAACCTCAATAATCGCGGATGTTATCGCCTCAGCTTGCTTCGACGGCACGCCCTGCGCTTCCAAGCTCCTCACCTGAAACAAACGGTACACAAACCAACATAACAAATGCTTTGGTCTCTGATTCTGGCGGATCCTAGAGCAATCATTTTCCCCCTCCAACACGAGATCCAACGACGACGAATTAGGAGCGAAACTATGAATTACCAGGGCCAGCGTGTCGACGAGGCAGGCCCGAGTCCCGTTCGACTTCACGAGCTGGGAGAACTGCCTGCCGTCGAATCTCTGACTCGGCGACAACGACGAGCTCGAGGTCGAGTACGCGCTCAGGGCGCGAAGACTCGCCAGGCGATTCTCCGGCTTGATCCCCAATTGAAGCGCGCGTCTCAATGCAGCCATCAAACGAGAGAAAATCCTCCGAACCAAAAAAACCTTGGAAAGAAAAACTCAGCGGAAGAACGAATTGGAAAAACTAGAAGCGCGATCGGAAGGGCCGCCCCCCCTTGGGCGACGAAACTAGAGAGACAGATCTCGTCCCATTCCGCGATGAAAACGAGATTCGTCGCAAGAAGATGATGAAGATGATGATGATGATGATGATTCCCTCTCTTTTGGCAGAACGATGATGAGATTTGGAAGACCTAACAAAAACCGAATTGAACACGAGACGATTTTTGCTAAAATTTGCCTGCACCCTATTTCTAATTTAGTTTTAATTTTAATTTTTTTTGTTTTTTTTTCCAGCGGGTGGTTGCGTGCTGCCAAAGGCTGATTATTTTCACGCGAGCAAATTCGAGGACGGCGATGACCTTGACGTACTTCTGGGGCTTGCTGTTAATTTGGTTATTCTTTTCCATATTCTAATCTCCTTCTTAATCCCACCCGCAATGTCATTTTTCTTTCTGATTCGGTAACAATATGATGTTCCTCGATTCTTAATTCATACATATTACTATCGTATCTTACGAGAAAGTGATGTTTTTCTTTAATTCATACATATATAGTTTCATTTTTTATACACGACCCAATTCTTATCTTTTCAAATGTAATTACCGAGAAAGAACGAAACGCGCAGAAAATTTCACATCCGATCTCCTGTCATTGGAACTTGCTACGGACGCATTGCCTACTTAGGGCCCGTTTGGTAACGTGCCAAATAGTGAAAATTTCTGTTCTTTTGTTCCCAGAAATAATTTGGGAACAGAAATGCGTTTGGTAAACTTTTTGTTTCTCGGCACATTTTTGCAAAAATTTGTGCCGAGAAAGCGTTTTGGAAGAGAAACAAGAAGTAAAAAAGTTTCTTCTTGTTTTAAGACAATTTTGAGAATCAGTTTTTTTCTTCTTTTTCTTTTTTTCTTTTCTTATTTTGTGGTGTTGTTCTTGGTGAGCCGCCGCCGGCGCCGGTGGCCGGCGACCGGCCACAGCCCAGGGCCGGCGAGGGCGTCACGGCCCTCGCCGGCCGCCGGCGGAGGCGAGGGTCGCCCTCGCCGGCGAGGGCGAGGGCTGGACCCTCGCCGCTGAGGCGAGGCGGCCTCGCCTAGATCGAGCGAGGCTCGGCCTCGCCGTCGCGACCCACGGCGAGGTCGGCCGCCGATCCTGGCGAGGCCGAGCCTCGCCGTCGCGACCCACGGGCAGAGCCGACCTCGCCGTCGCGGCCCAGCGGCGGCCGACCTCGCCGTGGGCGCGACGGCGAGGCTCGGCCTCGCCGGAGTCTGGGCGAGGCCGAGCCTTGCCGTCGCGCCCACGGCGGCCGACCTCGCGTGGCGCGACGGCGAGGCCGCCTCGGCGGCGAGCCTCGCCGGGCGGCGAGGCCGCCTCGCCCGGGCGCGAGGTCCGCCCTCGCCCTCGCCGGCGAGGGCAACCTCGCCTCCGCGGCGGCCGGCGAGGTCCGTGACGCCCTCGCTAGGCACGGGTTGGGCACGGCCGCGCGCGACCGGCCATGGCCAAAGAAGAAAGTAAAAAGAAAAAAAAATTTAAACAATTCAAAATATTATTAAAATATTATTTGGGAACGAAATTTTGTGTAGTTACCAAACGCATTTTGTTCTTTTCTACTCTAGGAATAGAAATTTTGGACATTTATCAAACGCCTTCAAATACTCAGAAATTGTTTCCGGGTACAGAATAAAAAAAAATCATTTCTGTTCAGAAATAGCGCCCGGGCACAGAATGGTATTCATGCGCACCCTTAGCAATTTCCTTTTCGTGCTAAGGGGGTACAGAGGTAAAAAAGAGTTTTGGCTCACAGCGCCTACTGAGCAATTTCCTTTTCGTGCTTAGAGGTACAGAGGTAAAAACAGAGTTTGGCTCACAGCGAATGAAGAACCGGAGTCAAAATTCAATGAACACTAAGTGAATCTACAAACAAATATAGCCTGATCATGAAAGTTTTCAAACGGGATCATAATCTTGATTGCTGCACAAGTAAAGCCAGATTATGCTGTAGGAGATCACTGGGTGCATCACATATCTTGGATTCTGCATAGTCTTTTCTTGCACACGGGAAGAAATCACAACCTTCCCATTTCAAGGGTTACAAGAAAAAAACACAAAGAATCTCTCTGCTGTGACTACTTGTTAACATTAACACTACTGCTCAAAGAAACCTTCAACCTGCCAAACGACCCGCCGCCTATAGCCAAAACCAGAAACATTTCTACTATAAAAAAGTGCAAACTATTGGACCTACAAACAATATTAATAATCACGTTGGGCCACCACAACAGATCTTCAGCAACTCAGCACCTATGCCCATCACACTGATCACCTCCCTACAGATTATTTAACTCCCTTATAAATTTCTTTTTAAGTTAGAAAAAGATTCCAGACGAAGATTCAATACATAACAGTCACTGCCGACTTGAACAAGGTAGCAAAAATCTTCTGTCCATAATAAAAGGGCACAATACTACACGAAAAGTAGAAGCTCCAAATTCTAATAACAATGGCCGCCACAGAAAACTGCCGAATCAACATCTCAAATCTATCAGGGGCCAAACACTGACACAGATTGCCATCCATCAATACCTTCTAGGGAAACGGTCCATGAACCTCCCTGAAGGGCACTCGTATGCCATGTGCCCTCGTCCACCACAGTTGCGGCAGATCGTAAAAGCTCCCATGTCACTGCCCATATGACCCACCTGCTGGCAGTTTCTAAACGCAACATCCCTGAAACCACCACCGCTGCTGCGCCCACCACCACCACCCCCTCGCTCTCCCATAACATTGCCTTTAGGACACAGCCTAGCCACATGCCCAGATATGTTGCACATATTGCAGACCGGCTCATTCGCGCACTCACGTGCCAGGTGGCCAGTTTTCCTACAGTTGTTGCATGCCTTCTCATTCGTACAGTCAGCTGCAATGTGCCCTTGCTTGTAGCAGTTGTTACACAGCCTCAAGTCACCAGGAGGAGCGCTGCATTCTCTGGCAATATGTCCAGCCTTACCACATGTATGGCAGATGCTTTCATTCGAACAGTTGCTGGCCGTGTGGCCAGGTTCACGGCAGTTCCAACATAATGATTTTGTGGTGCATTCTGAAGCAATGTGCCTGGCAAGCCATTGGGAATTAATTAAACAAAATGGAAGCACATCAGTAGCACTAAAAACACCATCCACCCAATTAAAAAAGGGACGCTGCCTAGTTAAGTAAGAACAGTGCATCATCACTCACTCTATAGCAAGCTCGGCAATCCACATTTGCTGACGTGATGATGGTAACAAAAAACAAGAGAAATGCCCATACATCAGACTCTTACATGGCATCACTTTAGTTTTACTAAACAGTACACCATAGTTCCAAGTCATTATACTTCTTTTGGCTAGAGAGGAAGAACAAGAAAAGAACTCTCTATGCTGTTGGTAGTGTTTTCAATGGTTTTCTTTTTTCTTTCTGTACATAGGGTATTAAAAATTAATTGGTTTCCTCAAGTCATTAGACTTCGTACCTTATCACCCCTTGAATTAGCACAGAATAGTGAATTCATTATTTACTAGACACAAAAAAGACTGGATTTCATATATTATCAAAGGAGGACCAAAGATAATTGGAGCTTCAAATCTGGGGAAAAAGCCACCTGACAACCACTTACTTAACTGCAAATCCTTAAGAAGAATCAGGCTTGTAACATATCATTCCACCACATGCAGATCCATATTGAGTTAAAGATTTCAAATTCCATTCCAGGCCGAAGGAAATGTGTCAGAAAGTGGAGCAAGATCTACATGTTAACTTTTCCACTGAGTAATCTACAGCAAAAACCCCAGCTAATGTTCTATTCAGAAAAAACTCCCTTGCCAATGCTATACACTTACTCTGGTAGTATATCCTTATCATGTTTCAACAGAAAACACGCATCCTACATGCACCTGCACCTGATACAAATCACAGTGACTACTCAAGAAAAGAGTTACTCACCCTGGCAGACCACAATTGTGACAAATTGCCACATTGGGACAGTCTCTAGCAAAATGCCCAGGACGTTTGCAATTCTTGCACAGATCTCGGCTGGAAAAAGTTAAAAAACACTGATCAAGCAGAATCAAGGACAGCAAAATCTTGTACGAATTCAATCACCTGACTTTTGGGTCACAGAAGACAATAGAATTTTGAAAAAGTATAATAATACAAATCCAATACAGCAATTAGATAATCCAAAAAATAGCATGTCCGCCTTTCAAATGTCTATCAGTGGGTCCAAACCCTTGTTAAGGTTCCTTCCCTAGACTCTAATTGAGAAGAATGCAGCAAAAGCAAAAGAAAAGCAGCAAATCCCGCATTCTCATCCAGCAACATTCTATATATGTTACATCTTAGTGAAATGAACAGTAACTTCATACAGTGAGGACATGAGAAATCCTGACATATAACCTTTTCAGGGGATTTCCTTTAACCTCCCTCAACAACATCACCCCCAACTAGAAAAAGAGAGAAAACAAAGTGAAAACACACCCCTTTCTCTCCCTCAAAGGAAATGGCTCTCTCTCTCTCTCTCTCTCTCACACACACACACACACACACAAAAGCAAAGAAGAAGGGCGAAAGGGTGGATGCTAAAGCATGGATAATCATCTCATCATCTTTCAACAAACAAATAAAAATTTACCAAACAAGCAAACCTCGTTAAAAGCAACAAATATTCAACAAAAGTAAATCTTCCTTTTTTTTGGCTGAAGACTATTAAGGTTTATTATATATATTAAACATACTTCGCAATTTTATAGATTTAAGCCGCGATTTAATGATTTGCTCCCTGTTCCACAGAGGAATAAGATCGAATCCAAAAGCAGGAGAGTAGCCATTATCAAAACACCTGAAACCACGACGAGAGTCTCTCCTGTAAGGTGCATCACGATAGGAAAAGCGCTCAGTACGCATCTTTCGATTGATCGGGCTCCTGGACCTGCTCCTGCTAGGGCTCCTGCTCATTGAAGCCATTCTTAAAACTCCTCTTACCAATATTCACCACCACTAGTCCGCACTAGCTGCCACCAAGACCAACACAGCTCCAACCTGCTCCCTGTCCACATCACAATATCACACCACATATCATAACTGTCAGTCCAACCACACCTCCATCCTCTCCCTTCAGAAACGGAACGGACCACATTCCTAACATCAAAATCTCAACAAGAAATCCGTCTAATACAATCACATCGCCACACACTTAGAGGCTAAAGGTAGCAATTCTTCCTCAGCTCAGCCACATCCTTCATTATCCCACACCCACATCCATTGCAATGAAAGTGCCCAAGGATTACATAGACATATGCATCTTGAACTTGTACTCCAGAGCACACATATCTTCCCTTTATGCGAGGAGTTATTCAAATGTTTTAGAGAGCAAGAGGGAGAAAAATTAAAAGCCATCATGGGTTTGACATCACTACAGGGATTTAGCTAGTGATGCCGCAAGTAATTAGTAAGATAGTCGAAGAATCTGAATAAATTCAGAACTGTTGGACCACACTTCACAGGGAAAAAAAAGGAAGCCATCTCCACTATATTGGGATTTAAACAATAATGAGGTCCCCATTATGCTCTCCTCAAGCTACAATTCAATTCAGATGAGGGCAATTTGCCCTACTGAAGATCCAACCTTCATTATACACATTTGCCCTATTGACTCAAAACTTTGGAGATTTTATGCTCATCAAGAAATCGACTCAAAGACCATCTGTCATGAAAGAAAGAGGTAGTCACATCTTCCTCGTTGTATTACGTTTGATAGTTCAGTTTATATTCTTGTTTAGTAATAATAAGTAAATTGATTACATCTCGAGATGTATAAACACATGAAGCCATTACTTCATTGCACCCATTGGTAAAAATCTCCTTAGTTTCGTCCACGCTCCTGAGCATATTTAACATCGCAGTCCCTTCATCGGGATCAACTCATCAGAACCCTCCCGCTGATGCATATCAAACCCTTCCAGATATGACCTCACTGCACCCTTTTTGTCCCTCCTCTTCTTTATTTCATTTATCAGCGGCAGCCCAACACGGTTTCGGAGCAGAAGGACAAGCACAGCAAGAACAGGAAAACAAAAAAAAAAAAGGGGGGGGATCGATCCTGCGACACACACAAGACAATCTGTACAAAAAAAAAAAGGGATCGTCCAAACGAATCATCCAAAGACAAAATCGCCAAATGCTTGACAAGAACACGCAAACATGTGCCGTCACCGCGAATCAATTCAGCTGATTAACGCCAGCGAATCCAACGGACACCGAAGCTTTCGACCCAAAAAGAGCTCGATTTCGCGACATAACCTCACAGCAAGCGTACCCAGATACCGTATCCGTTAACTGAAGCTAGACGCCACATGCAACCACGACGAGACCACAAACGAAAACCCTAAAACCATAACAAAGCGCCCATGGAAAGCAAAGAAAAATCGCGTCTTTCGTACCTCGGTCTGGTTCGATTTCAATCAGCAAAGCTGAAATGGCCACGAGGAGGTTGATGGGTGTGTTCTGTGCGAGGCGATTGGCCAAGAGCGAGGACGATGTTCGGGCAGTAACCACAGAGAGAAGCCATGGGAGGGGTATCTGTAAGAGCGACCGATGCCACTGTTTGGGGGGTTTAAGCCCAAGCCCAGCAAGTCATTTGGGCCTTAGTCCATTCAATTCACAATGTGGACCGTCTCGTTAAAATATAAGCTTGCAATCTGGACCGAAATATTTCAAAAGAGAATATCCATACACGATTGAAACTGGACCCGTCAAATGGGTGGATCAAGTCGAGTTTGGGTCCGGTCAAAAAAGATCCGAACTGAATAGACCCATTCAACTCGTTTTGACTCATTTTCTATGCAATGCAATTCGATCTAACCCATACCTAACCCATAGCCAATTCATACCCATTCCAACATATATTGCTAAAATACTTCCATATTTAACCTGTTAGAAGAGTATCAAAAAACTGATACCTTTCGTCCGGGGAGATCACCAAGAGGGAGCCCAAAGTTTGAGCCTGTTAATATATTCAGTTGGACCCACCTTCACTCAAAAGCTTAAACCAATGAGTTATGGGCCAATTAGGATATAGTAACTGCTCTACACCACATCAATTCTCAAATATTGAGATTTCTTTTAACACAACGGCTAATTAGGATATAGTAACTGCTTTACACCACATCAATTCTCGAATATTGAGACTTCTTAACACAACTCATACGTGCATATTAACATAACCTGGCCTATTTAGGAAAACTTATACCCTAATTGAAGTAAGAATGTAGAGCGAATTAGTGCGAGATCGAATGAGTAGGGGTGTCAATGAATCGGGTCGAGTCAGGTCCTACCGACCCGAAAATAAAATGAAACATGTTTGTGTGAACCGACCTGAGACTCGAACCGTATGGAACCCTAACTGGAATACAGGTCGGGTCGGGTTACGGGTTTTATTTTTAACACGCCAAACCTTTAATGCACCTCTCAAAATCCAGTGAAGACGCTTGATAAGGAAAACACTAAGCACGCACACCACCATGGCTTTCTTCCTCCTTGTTCCCAAAATTTTCAAGCCCTAATAACAACAGTAGAACTAAAAATTCCTCCATCCGAGCACCAGCCACCACCCTTAAATGCTTGCCTCATCACCTCCAGCCACCGTCTCTTGCCATCAAGCTCCACCACGCTATTTTGGCCGCCGTTACCGCCACCAACGATAGAGCCTCCTCTCTCTCGACTACCCATGGCACACGAAACTCGGCATCATGGTAGCACCACCTATCGAGGCTCGACATCTAAATGTTGAAGCTCGAAGACCAGATTTGGCAGCTTGATGGGCCATGGAGGCGTCGACCCTCTAGATCTAGAGGCGACGGCTCCTCCATGGTCATCGAGAATGGATGGCAAGGCCGAGGTATGGAGGACCCGTCGACCTTGGTAGCGATGCATCAAATCGAGTACAGAGAGAGATGATAGGGGCCAAAGGCGTTGGGGTCTCGCCAGAGAAGGCAAATTGCATTGAGCATTGCGGAGGCCACAATGGCTGTCGGCACGACGGCGACGGCGACATAGACGGCAATGCACAGTAGTGGATGTGATTTCTACTGGTTCCTTAGCATTTTTCTCTTTCCCAGAATATGATGTGGACAATGCAACTTTATTTGTTTCAGTTAGGTTTGAGTACAAACATGAACCGAATCGAAACAATGACAATACCCATTTTAGAGCCGTACACTCGAACACAAACAAAACCCGAATCGGAGGACCCAAAAATTTCAGGTTGAGTCAGGTCGGTTCATGTTCGGGTCCGACTACACGGTTTGGCTTTGACGACCCTATGAATGAGGGTCAGTGAGAATGAAGAGAAAGTCATAGAGCTGGGTTGAGTCTAAGTAAGTTGTGAACCCATTTATAACCCATTTACTGAATATAACTAACCCATATAACAATCCAGCTCATCATATATGGGTTAAGAAATGGGTCTATAATCCATTTTGATAGGTCTAGATTTAATGGATAAAACTAATATCTCCATTTTAGTGCTTGAAAAATAGGAAAAGTGGGTGCTTTTTTTAAAGGTTTTTTAGCCGTCCAAATGATTAATCTAGAGCTAAGAGGTCACCATCTTCCACGAGGTCGAGAGTTTGATTTCATTTTATGAATGAACCTCTCCATGGCTTGTGCTACGTTGCCAAACTGTGACATATTTTGTGTAAAGAGATTTTATATAGACATGGCCACGGGCCGGTTTCGGCCCGGAACCGGCCCGGGTCAAACCCGGGACTAGCCCGTTGATCGAGCTCGCGGTTCGGAACGGAAATCGGCCCGTGGCCGGGCCACAGGCCGGTTCCAAAAAAAAAAAAACTGCAGCAGGGCCTGCACGAGAGTGGGATATTTGCAAAATTTTTTTAGATATTTTAAAAGTTTTTAATTATGCAACTTATACTTTATCCGGTCTTTATTATCCTACTACGCATTTATTTTTTGTAGAGTGTATTAATATTGTTGGAGTTTTTGAGGAATATGAAAATGATGTTGAATTACAAAATACTATAGTAACAATGAGAATGAAGTGGCTACATTATTATAGCGAAATTCCCATTATTTATTTAGTTGCTTGTGTTTTTTATCCACGTTGCAAATTAGATGGTTTAGGTGATTATTTGCATATGTATTATCAATGTTTACATTATAATACGGTAGATGTTACAACCATACTAAGGGAGGTTAAAAACGTAGCAATAGAATTATATAATGAATTTTGTACTAAGGGAGGTGATATTAGATCTTTTCAATCTACCGAGACACAAAGTGAGAGTACAAGTAAAATTAGTAGAGGGTACCAACTTTTATTACATAAGCAAAAAAAGAAAAAAGGAGTAATATGAAACATTTCTGAATTAGAGATGTATCTAACCGTTTCCTTTGAGTTTTCTGAATCCGAAGATAGTACGGGTTTTTTAATTTTAGATTGGTGGAAGAGGCACGGAAGCCAATACCCAATTCTTGCTCTGATTGCAAAACAAAATTTTGCAACCTCATGTTAGACAGATTGCGGTCAAATAAGCATTCAATGCCGGAGGTAATATTTTGGATGAACAACGTTTAAGATTAGTTTCGGAATCAATTGAGGCTCAAGCTTGCATCGATGATTAAACGAAGGCTCAATATCGACAACAAGAGATAGATCGGAATAATGAATCCGAATTCTTTGGACGGAGATACCATCACTCGGTACCGATAGTACCGATCACCGTACTCGTGGAACGGTAGCAACGGCGAGGGTAAAAGAAGCGCATGGATTTTGATTCTTCTATCCCCAAGAAGATATGTAAGGCGCTTAATGATAATTCATTAAGTTCAAGCTCCATCTTTTTTCTCTCTTTTTTCCCAAATTTGATTACAATGTACATTTTGATTACATTTTATATTGAATAATTTATTATTTCATAATTTGATAATTCATTATTTTTTATTTCATAATTTATTTTTAATTTTTACCGCCGGTTCGAACGGGCCGGAACGGAACCGACCAGAACCAATCGGTTCATACATGGCCACGAACCGGAACCGACCGGTTCGAACCGTGGCCATGTCTAATTTATAGCTAACAACATCTCGTGTAGGACCATTAAAGTGATTTTTATTTTAAATTGTTGATTTTCTCATTTTTTTTCAATATTTATCTTTTACTAAACAAACCAAATTTGCGAAAACTTATCCGTGTGGTATTTAAATTACTTTGCAAGAATTTCAAATCTTATGATTTTAAAATAAAATATATATTATGGACATTTCGGTAAATAATTTTTTTTTCGAAACAAATCGACAAATACACTTTTGCAGGCTTAAATACTATTTTCATAATTTTCGGTACACGCGATCAAATTAATCTTGTAAAAACACACATTCTTGTGAGGCTAATTAGTAACATAACTCTTCTTTTTAAGATTATTCTCAATTAGATGTTGCGATTTAAACACATGACACGTAACATTAATCGCAACGTTAACATTATCAAATGCTTAATCACTCGGAAAGACGAGCTATTGAAAATCACATATTCTTTTATTTGATTAGCTAATGAGAGAATAAAAATTTTAAAATAACAATCTCTCAACTGCCAAATTCTCGAAGTTGTCAAACAATGGCAGCGTCACGCGTCCCAATGAGAGCTGAATTCATGATCACGACAGCTTTCAGGATCATAGGCCGCCACCCTCCTAGCCCCACCTAACCTAACCGTGGTTAACGGAAACAGTTAAAACGGTTGGGAAAAAGGGCGTTTTGCCCCCTGCAACTGCAAATTGGCCTCCCTGTCGAATTCTTGCAACTGAGGCAATAGCGGATTCTATCTTCTTTTTCGGTCGGAATAGCAGATTCTATCTTCGCAGAGCTGAACCACCTAAAGTTCATTACGATGCGACTAGCCACAACAGAGTCACTTGCAATTGCAAGTTGCAGAAGATGGAACATTTTCTTTTTTTGTTAGTATGCAGAAAGATAAGACTTGCAGAGATTACAATAGTGCCCATAACGAGCTTCACGGGTACCACCATTTCGAGTAAACAATTCTTGACGTGGACACGAAGAAATCACTCCGGCCGCAACTAATAACTAGAGAAACCGAAACCCGACACTACTCGGTTAATTCGAAACTCACATGATTTTACACTTTCTCGCCTATTTTTGATAGGAAGAACACTTGTTCATCACGAAACGAGGAAAGCAACCGACATGAAAATGATATCAGTACAGGAATCGGCTGATCAGACGCATACTTCAACTCAACTAGGGTCACTTAGAATGCACCTGACCCAGTTCACTTTCACTGGTTAAAATGAAAGCAGCAAGTTGGATGACAACACTACTGAGAAAGGTGGGCAGGGGGCACTTTAGGCTATCTTGGGACTAGAGGTAAGAACATTCTCCTTTTGCCACCTTTAATCTACTTATCTTCTCGGCGTACGGCACTAGATTTGTCCACAACAGTCTCAACGTAATCCTTTTATCTTGTTGAAGGAAGAAAAGAACGTCGGCTTGCTTCGCTTTTTATCCTGCTATCTGATTTTATTCGCGTCAGTGTACTGTGTTCTTAGCTTG